CTAAAACCACTTCCATTTTCTCTCAATTTTTCAAGTGGTCTTCTTGAAATTTGTAGGAAGCCATTGTTTTGGATTGAACTATAAAAGGACATTTAAAAAAAGAGGCCACTTTTCCAAAATGCAGGTAATGCCCAGTAGTCAATGGAAAGGGAAATAGTCAACCTGAGCTGGCGTGATAAGGAACCCCCTGCTGCTTTAATCCATCCAAGGATGTCCTTCCCATGTAACCCGATGAGGAACCAGCCTGCCTTCTGTACTGTGGTGTTTCTTATGCTTGCCCCGATGGCTTACAGAGGCCATCTGCCACATCCGATAGAATTGTCTCTATTATACATCGGATGCTGTTTAATTCCTGATCACTAATTTAAGAAGCCAATTGGATTTTTAAAATTCAATTTTATTGAAATTTTGTTTCAAAATTGAAAGATTTTAAAAGAGAAAAATTATGTAGCAGGAACTTGGGTTCTAATCACTTAAAACATAAAACCATCATTTTAAAAAAGTTTCTATTCAATTAGAAACAGAGCAAGAGGGAGTGAAGTATGGGTGAGAGTTTCCGTCTAGCAGGGTGTTGAGTCAAGGGACCATGCCTCCTTGATTACCCCGTTATTGTCTTAAGTAGAGTATACTTATTATAATCTCTGCCTTCTAACTTAAAAAAAAAATTATTGCAAAGGCAGATTTACAGAGAGAAGGAGAGAGAAACAGATTTTCCATCCACTGACTCACTCCCCAAATGGTCCCAATACCTGGAGCTGAACTAACCCAAGCCGGAACCAGGAGCTTCTTTCAGGTCTCCCATATGGGTGCAGGGTCCCAAGGACTTGAGCAATCCCCCACTGCTTTCCTGGGCTATAAGCAGGGAGCTGGATAGGAAGTAGAAAACCTGGGATACAAACTGGTGTCCATATGGGATGTTGGTTTAAAGGTGGAGGATTAGCCAGTTGAGTCATTGCATAGACTCTGCCTTCCAGTTTTTAATGTCTTGCCAAACATGTAATTTTTGTGTTCTAAATCAACTTTGCCAGTCCTAGAGTAGAGGTTGTCTTCAAAAAAATTTTTTTTGTTGTTTTTATGTTTAGGTCTAAGCTCTACAAACTACCTCTGTTTTTCAATATGACATAATTTAGGGGTAAGGTCTTTTATTCCCTATGACTGAAATGTCCATCTAACCCCCTTTGAATTTCCATGATACAAAAATAGATGAGTCTATTAATAGCTCTCTAATTAAATTATGTAATGGGTTTTACAATATCACATTGTCTTGATTAGTGGGTTTTTTTTTTAGTAAGTTTTAAAACTAGATCTGTCTTTTTTAGTATCGTTTTAGCTATTCTGTGTCTTCTGTTCAAATGTACTTCATAGTGTTCTTGGAAAATGGAAGTAAAAGGCAAGCTTGTTTTGGTACAAAAATTTTTGAAATTATATCTGTGATGACTCAGAAAGTTCAGGGACAATACATATGAAAAAGTTATGCATGGATTTCAAAATATTTTTGCATCAAATTAAATTACTTTTAACTCCATTTTTCACATATATTTAAAGAGTTACACATGCACACACACACACGCACACAAAGAAATGAAAGAGAAATTAAATTAAATTAGCTTCCATCATCCACTGATTCATTCCCTAAATGCCAGACCAGAGCCAGGAGTTCAGGGCGTCTTTTGGGTCTCCCACATGAATTCAGTAGCTCAAGCATTTGGGCTATCTTCTGCTGCTTTCCGGGCATATTAACAGGAGCTGACATTTGCATGGGATGTTGGCACTGCAGGCTGTGGCTATACTGACTGTGCCACAGCAGTAGTCTCTTAATTCTATGTTTTATGACCCATCTGAAGTCTGTATTTCTGTATTAAGTATAATAATGTTTTATTAACATAAATTCTGTTGGGATCTGATTTGGTTAGAGTTAAATCTACATAATAATTTTGGGAGAAGTGATAAAGCATATTTAAAACATCTTAAATTCATTTTCATTTATTTGCGAGAGAAGGAGGGAGGAATGGTGGGCTAGAGAGAGAAAGTCTGTCTTCCATCTTCTAGTTAGGTGCCTGCAACAGAGCAGTCAGTACTGGGTAAGGTTATAAACAGGAGCCAAGAACTCAATCTAGACCCCGCACACTGGTGGCGGGGATCCAGGTATGAGACTCATCATCCCTGCCTCCCAGATGGGGCATCAGCAGAAGGCTGGTTTGGAAGCAGAGCCAGGACTTGAGCTCAGACACTCTGACGTGAGATGTGGATATCCCAAGTGGTACCTTTAATTGCTGTGCCAAATGCTGCTTCAGATCTAGTGTCCTTTAATCAGTGAATATAGTGTGTCTTTCTTCTTAGTATTTTGATTTTGCTCAGCAACGTTTAATACATTTCAGTGTATTGTTCTGGTGTGAGTTTTGTTTAATTTCGACACAATCATTATTGATATCTCAAGTAATTTTTAAAATTCTAATGTTTGGTTGATCTTTGCTAACATGAGTACAACTGAATTTGTAGGATTTGTGCCTGGTAGCACTGTTAAATCAACTTAGTGTTAGCATCTGTTTTGCAGATCCTTTAGGATTTTTTACACATATGATCAAGTTATCTGCAAATAAAGACAATTTTGTCTTTTCCTTTCTGTTCTGTCTACCTTTAATTCTCTTGTCATATTGCAAAGTTAGGCTCACAAATACAATGGTGAATGTTGAATGGCAAGAGATATCCCAGCTTTGTCCCAGTTTTAGGGTGAAACTACTCCATCTCTTTCCCAAGTATGATTTTGGTTGTAATTTCTATTGTAGATTTGTATTATCAGGCTGATTATTATTCCTTGCTTTCTGAGAGACTTCTGCACTTTTTTTTTTCATTAGATAAACACAGAGCAAGAGAGGGTGTCAATAAGTGTGCATCAGAGGCTTTGCATCCACCAGTCCACCTCCAAATGCTTGCAGCCATGGTGTGGTGGGTGTAGCTGGGAACCAGGCACTCAATCCAGGCCTCCTAGGTAGGTGCCAGGAACCCAACCAGCAGGGTCTGTGTTAGCAGGAAGGTTGAATTAGCAGCCAGGTCAGGCACTGAACTCAGGCACTTAGAGGTGGGATTCCAACCAATATCCTAAATGTTAGGCCAAATGTCTGTCCCTCCGAGAGTTTAAAATCATACAAACTGTCGAGCTTTGTCAAGTATTAGTCCTTTCTCACTTCTTCCACTCACTGCTTTGCTAGGAGATAAGCATCTTAATTCTCCATAGTTTGAGGATAGGAGCTAAACGGGGTGGATCCAATGATATCAAGCTATATTACACCTAAGTTAGAATTATGATGGGTGTTATATACCCATTGTTGTTGTTGTTGTTCTCTGGCATGTTCACTTTACTATTATTCTGTTTTATGTATTACAGTTGTTGCTTCCTGGGGTTCTATTTCATATCTCCCTATCAGTTTTACTGACGTTTCATCTACATGCCATATACTTCAGCTGTTAAAATGTCTAATTCACTGACTTTTAGAGTTTTAGGACCATCATCAAAATTGATTTTATATTTTAATCACCCTCAAATAAACTGTCCTTTAGCAGTTGCTACAGAAGCCCTACAGCTGTAGGTCATCATTAACCAATTTTCTGTGACTGCTGATTGGCTGGTTAAGTGGGATCTGGTGTGACTGCTCTGCAACTGCTGCTTCCCACCTAGTGTGATGTCTCAAGCATCACCGTGCGCATGTGTCAGCACTTCCTTCTTGGGGAGGCTGGATGATATTCCATTGTGTGTGTGTGGACATTTGAGCTGTGTCCATCTCTTAACTGCAACGAGCTGCAATGCGTGTGGAGGCACAGACACCTCTTTGAGATCCTGCTCTCATTTTGGGGATTTGTGTTCAGAGAGGGCTGGAATATTTGGTAGTTTTAATTTTTGAAGGATCAGCAGTGTAGAAGCAGTGTAGTTGCACCTTTAGAAGAATATATCTTTGTGGGTTTTCTTTTTGATAAATACTAATGTTTACACAGCTTTTTCATTCAACGTACACCAGGAGCAGTATTGAACTAGAAGGTGTTAATCCTAACCTCAGTCAACTCTGGAGACAGAATGGGTTCAGTACAGGCTATCCAATAGGAGAGGACGTACCAGATGTGGCATTGAAAGTCACCTGACTGGGTTTTGGGTGGCCTTGGATTCTTTTTCTCCTTTACTTAGAAGTTAACTTCTTGGGAGCCGCTGCCTGTGAAGCCAGCATCCCATATGGGTGTGAGTTCAAGTCCCGATTGTTTCACTTCCCATCCAGCTCCTGGTTAATGTTTCTGAGAAAACACTAAAGGATGGCCCGAGTGCTTGGGTCCCTGTTCATAGGTGGGAGACCTGGAGGAAGCGCCCAGCTCCTTCTGGGTCAGCCCTAGCCATCGCAGCCAGCTGGGGAACGAACCAGAAGTAAGATCTCTGCGCCTGTCTCCCCGCCCCCCCCCCCGTCTTTCAATTAAATAAATAAAATATATCTTTAAAAAAAGTTAGCATCTTTCTCTGCCACAGTAATTGTCTTCTCCTCTCCTGAGGTTTCCTTCACGGGTGGGGAGAGGTCAAAACCTGGGCACCTGCGGCTAATTAGATATGCCATGGTATTTATATCCATTACTTTAGCTCTGAAGATGCTCAGCGCTGGAGTGGGAGTGGAATAGAACGTGAACTCTGAAGCCAGACTCCCCGAGTTGTATCTGGGCTGTTTCCCGGGGTTCTTCAGCAGACTCCTTACTTTCTTGGTGCCTTGGTTTCCTAATCCATCCATCGCACCCACTTCAGAGTATGTTTAGGATTAATGAATGCTGGGTTGGGCACTGGATGCCAGCTCTGGGCACAGAGTAAGCGCCAAGCACATGTTAGGTAAAGAAAGTGGGGAGGACACCAACTGCGCTGCCACCTGTCCCAGCTTTCCGTCTGCTGGGTCTCTCAGGCGTTTGAAAGCAGACCGGTGTCGGGGGCTGGCGGGGCGCGTGTGGGGATCCGAGGCAGCGTGCCGCAGTCCGAGTTAGGTCAGGCGTCTGCACAGGGCAGCGGGCATTGGGGGCGGCGTGGGGTGTGCTGGCCCAAGTGGGTGCAGAGGTGCACGCTCGGTGCACGATAACAGGTGTTGCACATGACGGGAGCGTTCCTTCCTTTTAGGATGCGCTCCGGGAGGCAGCAGTGCCGCGGGCCCGGGGCTTGCGGTACAGGAGCCGGTGCTGCACACCTTGGAACGTCGCTGGCATCGTCCGCTGCTGCACACCTGTCCCGGCAGCGAGGGCATTATCTCAGTGCACACGGAGGGCGAGCGAGCGCGCGGCTCGGCCCCTCGGCGGGCAGTCCCGCCGGGATGCGCGTTGGCTGGCGCCGCAGGAAGCTCGGTCCGCAGCTCCCTCCGGGCAGCGACGACGGCGGGCTCGGTGCGTGTCGTAGGAGGTGTCGTTACACACTTCCTGTGGGTCCCGCCGACCACGGCGCGCTTCCGGTGCCGGCTGGAGCCCGGGGTCCGAGCCCCCGCCCCGCGCGCCGGCCCCGCCCGCGCCCCGCCCCCCGCCCGGCGCGCTCCGAGCCCGGCGCGCGGAGCCCGGGGCGCACGGAGCGGCGCGCGCCGGTCGGCCCAGCCAGGCGGGCGCCCCCGCCCCGCGCCGAGCGCCCTCCCCGCCCCGCTGCCCGCGGGACCCGGGCCTCCGGGTCGCTCTCCTCCCGCCCCGTCCAGCGCGCGCGCTGCCCCGGCTCCCGCAGCATCCCCCCCCGCCCCCTCCTCGGCGCCCGCGTTCCTATGGACAGACGCACAGACACCTGCAGGTGGGTGAGCGCCCGCGCGCGGGGTGGCCACGGCCGCTTTGTACGTGACCCGGCTGAACCCTCCTTTTGTCTCCTTTTTGGGGCGGGGGGCGTCGCGGCCGGACGTCGGCAGCGGCAGGCTGAGGGGCTTGTGAGGGGCGGGGACCCCCTCGGCGGCCGCCGCGCGGGCTTGGGGGGCGGCTGTGAGGCGGCGGGTCGGGCTCCTCCGGCCGGTCCGCCGGCCCGCCTTCCCGGTGGCCGCGCTGAGAGGGTCTGGCTGGCTGCTTCGCCCGCCGCTTTGCTGTGGGGGTCTGCCGGAGGTGGGCAAGAGGAGGGCGGGAAGGAGGAAGAAAAGAGCCGCCCGCCTAGTTTGCAAGTCTTGTGAGGGTTCGGAGACCCGAGAGGCGGCTCGGGGCTTCGTGTGGCTCACCCGCCGGGGCCGGAGGCAGCCCGGGGGGGCGTGCGGGGCGAGTGTGCCGGAACGTGCATCGCCGCGCTCCGTATTTATTGTTTCTAACGGAGGAGGGCTTCTCCGGCCGCAGACTCTTCCGCCCCCATCCCCTTCTGAGGCTGCGCACAGTGGTTTGTGTTTGTTATCAAATAGATCAAGAGCTGTCCCTGGAGTGGGAGGTTGGGCCGCGAGACATCACATCAGAATCCAAGAAGGGTAGCTTGTTTGCTTGTTTCTTTTCTCCCGTTTCTCCCAGCCCCCCCTCGCCTTTTTGAGGTTTAATAGGGACGTAAAGGGCGAAAAAACAAACACGGTTGTGATTGTTTTTTTTAAAACCGTTATACGTGTATATTTTGAAGTTTTGGGGTAAAGTTTTGTTTTTCCTTTTTTCCAGAGTCGTTAGGGTTAGCCTGGCAGAATCTTCTGCCCCACTGAATTAATAGTTAACAAGTGAGTCGGGTAGAGTCAGCTTCCATGGTGAGGGTTGTGTTGGGGCGGTGATACGCGCGATGATTTAGCCTTCCATCGCGGCTGAAACCTTGATTTGTGCCAGTTGAAGATACGAAATGTTTCATGAACATAGGAGGAAAACAGCAGCGCTAGAACTGTGTTCCCGCCGTGGTTGTGTTTCCCATTGGTGCTGTGTGTTCCTGTGTGAGTCGGCTACTTGAGTAGTGTTTTTGCCAAGTGTTGGAGGAGGATGTGGCTCCCTTGTCGTTTTTAATTAGGCAGCTCCGTTTCCTTACAGACACTTGCAGTGTATTTGTAGATAATTGAATAGTGAACGAAGTTGAGAAATCACCCGCAAAATCGGTTTGACAGATTCAGATTTGCTCCTGCAGGCAGATACAGAGACGTCTTTACATTAATCTTGATCTACTTCTGGAGACACTTTTCCGCCCCACTGTGTCAGCATCTGACATTCACATAATTTAAGTAAGGCTTGATTTTTAAGTAATTTGGGGGCGCTTAGTTCTACTTGTATGGACAGTGGAAATGTAGAAAATTGGTGGCTTTCTTTTTTTTTTAAAAGTTGAATTTGAGGAAAAGACATTGTGGTGGAAAAACAGGTATTAATTTTCCATCAAGCAACAAAACATACAATTTTTGTTTAAGCAAGTTGATTTTTGCCATTGTAGAGTTTAATAAGCTTAAAATAGTGATTTTTGTCCAGGAGAAGAAACGAACCAACAGTCTTGTGCCTCTTATAGTAACACGTTAATATTATTGCATGCAGAATTTTCTAAATGTCAAGTTTATGCGTATTTTCCTGGAGCAGGCTGCATCTAACAGTGATCTGTCCAACACCCCTTTGATCGATTCCATTTTGTGAGTTCCTGCTAGGACTTCTGGTCCCCATTAGGTAAATGAATTGAAACTGCCCAAAGGCTCAGAGCTCAGTGTGTGGCTCAGGTAGGCCCTTTGCCCCAGTTACTCTTCTTTTTCCATTATTAAAAGCCCAGAGACAGGAGAGGTATTAAAATTTGGTCAGGCTTTGTCACGAGTGGTGGGAGGGGAGTTCTAGACCATTCTGAGAATTCCAGCTCTTAGATGCGCGAATTCTTCATCAGCTCTTGGAATTACAAACGATCAACCAACAAATTGAATAGCTTGTTTATGTATTAACAAGGCTGTCAGTGGTAGTGATAAGATTTAACAAAGAGTCACTGTGTGCACTACCATGAACAGAATGTGGCCTGTGTTGAAAATTACTTTGGCAAAGTTGTACTTGTGCTGAGCAGTTTCCTTGGCTCTTCAGTGTCGCGTCTTTGTGTGGGCTGGTAGGAGATGTGCCTGGTAGCTTTTGTTTTCTTTATTGTGATTGATGTAGGTGTTACTTTTCTGCCTCTTCTGTAATTAACAGTGATAGCCCAATTGGGAACTCGCAGAGAACTTTAGTATTTCCAGTCGATGCCCGTTTTGGTTAAGTTGGTATTCAGGAAGGCTTATGAATCACTTCTCATGTTGGAAAATGTTTTCTGCTGCTTTTTATAGTACAGCAAATGTTCCTTGTATAAAATATGAATTTGTATAAAGTTGGATTTGTAAATACAGCTGATGTTTACCAGCTTTCCTTTTTTAAACGCCACTATGCTCTTCCCAGTTAAACTTGATAGGTAGACTTTAAAATCCACAGACATACCAGTGTTTTCCTGTTTGTTAATTATCAGTGTGATATCATTAGAAGAAATTCAAAGTGGCCACTTTGTGCTAACTGGAACCTTCAAATGACTGGTATGAGCATAAGTAATGATCAGACAGGAAGCTGAAAATGAACAGTTGGACTTTGATGACAGCTCTGTGACTTCCCCGCAGTGCTTGGTGGCCTGGTGGGGAAGCCAGGCTGACTGACTGGAGCGGTGTAGACAGGCCCCGCTCATCCAGCCCCTAACACACATGCTCTCCCGGAGAGCGGAGTTCATTTTTGGATTAATTTTCTGGTACCAGATGTATGAGGCTGGCTCTGAAGAAGCTTTTTCTCTTCAATACTGTCAAAAATAGAGAAGCTGAAGATTGGAGAGAAGCCATTTATTTGGAACAGTTTATTTTATGACAGTTTGTGTTTGTAAAGAAACCTGCTCATACTGTTTACTTAAGAGATCTGCGCGGTTACTCAGAGACACCCCGCAGGTTCCCTTTTCTCCTTTAGAAAACTTTCCATAGAGCTTAACTCTTGACTTCGCTTCTGATTAGTTGATTTATGGACTTTATTTACCAGCGTGATTGGAGAATTCTTTTGCCCGGCTGAAATTGCACTCTGCCTGTGCTCTGGTCCGTTTCCTAGGTAACAAATGCACGGCATAGATTCCATAATGAGGACTGTGGTTGGCTAGTTACTGTGTAAATTCTGTTGTTTGGTAAAGCTTAGTCTCAAATTCAAATAAAGGTCAAAAAACTAAAAGTACTAAAAATGTAAATTTTTGAGTTTTATTCTGTATCCAGTGCCAACAAAGTATAATACGCTTGTCTGGAGAGAGGCAGGTTAGGCAGCAGTGTTCAAGTTTATTTTGCAAAGTCTTAAACAGTTGGAGAATTTTTCATATTTTCAAGCTGATCATACTAGTGGCTCTACTGACAAGGAAGATGTGTTTCAGAAACACAAGATCACACTTGCAAGTAATACGGGAGGCAGAGGGCTGTAGTCTGAGTTATCTAATATTTTTGTACCAAAAGGGGAAGTAATATGTAGGAATATGTCCGCAACAAATTATACAACTTCCATGTGAAATATCATTTCTGACTACTACAAAATAGGACGCTAAAGTATTTAGGAAACTGGAGTGGGCATTTGGCATAGTGTTTAAGTTGTCTGCATCTCCTAGGGGAGTGCTTGGATTGCAGTCCTGGCTTTGTGATGTGCAGGTGATTGGCTCGAGTTCTTGGGTCCCTGCCACCCATCTGGGACTCCAGATTGAGGTCTCAGCTCCTGGCTCAGCCTAGCCTCCTGTTGCTGGCATTCAGGCATGGAGTGGTCTTTTTTTTTTTTTTTTCTTCCTTCCTTCCATCCATCCATCCATCCATTCATTTATTTTATTGGAAAAGCACATAAGGAGAGATAGAGAAATCTTTTGTCCTTATTTACTCCTCAACTGGCTGGAGCTGAGCTGATCTGAAGCCAGGAGCCAGGAGCCGCCTTCTGGGTCTCCCATGCAGGTGCAGGCTCTCAAGGCTTTGGGCCATCTTCTGCTGCTTTCCCAGGCCACATGTAGGCAGTTGCATGGGAAGTAGAGCAACCAGGGCACGAACTGGTGTCCATGTGGGGTCCTGGCATATGCAAGGCAAGGACTTAGCCACTGTGCTACTGTGCTGGACCCTCCCCTCACGCTTTGTCTTTGTCGCTGAAAAAATTTTTCTCTTCATTTAAGAAACTAAACACATTAACAGTATTGTGAAGTGCTGTGTATTTGCTCAGATTTTTTTTTTCCTTCTCATTTGCCTGAACTTTGGCTGGTATTAACACCCAGGAACAGATTCACTCTCTAGAACTACTTTTTCCTTGAATCTGTAGTTACACATGCAGGGTAAAAGGGACAATTGTGAAGTTACTAGTGATATCTATTTGTTTAAGAAAAAATGCAAGCCTGCAAAAAACCAGAATTCCATTCAAAGGCTTTCACTTTATACCCTGTTATGCTTGTTAATTGTCAAGGAATCTGTGAACTGAAATATTGAATGAACCCAGTTGTACCAGGTGCAATGGCTCAATAGTGGAGGCGTAAATAAATCTTAAAAAAAAGTTATTACAACTTTTTGTTTTCATTGAAAAGGTAGTTTTACAGAGAGACAAAGATGGTGAGAATGATCTAACATCTGCTAGTTCACTCCCCAGTGTGACCACAATGGCAACAGCTAAGCTATTCCAAAGCCAGAAGCTAGGAGCTTCTTCTTTGTCTCGCATATGGGTGCAGGGTCCAAAGGACCATCTTCTACTGATTTCCCAGGCCACAAGCAGGACATAGGATCAGAAGTCGAAGAGCCGGAGCATGACATGAACTGGAGCCCATATGGGATTCTGGTGCTTTGAAATAGAAGATTAGCTGTGTGAACCATTGTGCCAGCCCCCTAACATTGCTTTTCAAAGATTTATTGATTTATTTATTTGAAAGGGAGAATGAAAGAGAGAGATCTTCTATCCTCTGGTTCACTCTCCAGGTGGCCACAATGACTGGGGCCCGGTGAGACTAAAACCTGGAGCTGGGAACTCCATCCGGGTCTCCAGTGTGAGTGGCGTGACCCTAATTACTTGGGATCTTCATCTGCTCTTCAGGGCACATCATGAGGGAGCTGGACTGGAGATGAACGAGTGTCTACATGGGCGTATTTGCTGTGTCACAATGGCAACCTCTCATATTTTTCTTAACTCTGTTGTTGAGTGCCAGGCCCCGTATACCCTGTGACTGACTGCATATGCTATTGAAAATAACTAATGTAGCTCTTTAAGGACTTTGTTTTGTTTTGATTTTTGCTCTTGAAATTCATTTTTTAAAAGTTTGAATGATTTAAAGTCAAAAGTTCTTAGTACTGTCATTGATTTGGA